AAAAGCTGCCTAAGCATAGACTACGGAAATGAGATCTTACAAAAAACGCGGACGTGTGGAGATAATGCGGAAATTGCTAACGAATTCTCCTGTTTGCGTCTGAAATTCAATACTAATTAGTAAGAGTAGCATGTGCTCATAACTGATATTAGGGTTAGGATAGCGTTTCTTGCACAAAAAAACTTTTTTTTGAGAGCTACAGTATTCAGAACAGCTCTGCTGCTTCATCTAATATCAGTGTACATACAAATGCATTCCACTTCATATAAAATTTCACTTAGCAGCGAACGTTTTTTCTTCAAAAAAAAAAAGTTCGCGGGGATATACATAGTTGTGAACTTGTTATACTCAGTGTGCTCTGCACTTGGGGACAACATTCAAAAAAAAAGAAACTTAACGCTGAAGTTACGAGCGCATATCGCAAATAAAATAAATTTAAAATTCATCGACATTGCTCTACATCCTGCTTTTTCTACTGACAGGATTACGGTAGCGGAATAAAAACTAGTTAGATTCAGCAAGCAATTTCACATTTGATTATTCATTCGGAACATTTCCAAAGAAAAGATTCATTTTTAATTTGGCACAAACATTCAGGAATTCTAAGTTTCACAACATAGTTAAAGAAAAACGTTTGTTTTGACCAATCAATATCGCTTGAGATTGCAGGCATAGCGTTCAGAAATGGTTTAGACTTATTCGGTGTTATTTTAAAAAATAAACTGACTGAAAAAAATGTTCAATAAATTGCAAGGAGAGGTTAAAGCTTCTCTAATTATTTTTAAAGGCGACAAGAGTTATTTCCAATTAGTTTAACGCTAACTGTTCTTATATTCTACCTTAGTAATAAATTTTCAAATGTTTTCTTGGAAAAAAGGCTTTTTTCCAGAATCGTTCGAGACGGCTTGCGTGATCGAAGAAGATGTGGTTATCCATCCATTCGCATTCCGTACACATGCTCATCGTCACGGCGTTGATGTTTCCGGTTGGGTTGTTGATGAGGTGAGCTTGAAATGACATTTGGGGATGGAAAAGATTTATTTCCTCGGAATAGAAAGTAGTTATCTAGGGTAAAAATGGCAAATAGCGAAAGGTACCTTGGGAAAACTAAAAATTTGTCAGGTTTTTCGAGGCTGCGAGCTATTTCGACGATAAAGCAATCTTTTTTCTCAAAAAAAAAGATATTTCCAAATTAATAGAGCATTTTGACTAGTGCATTTAGAAAACTCAATTGTCGACTAGTAGTTGAATCCCATTCAAATCAGTGGCAATCACAGCCAATTCTG